CTTCTTGGCGTGTTTATGACTTTCGTGCCTTTACAGAAAAATTCGCACTCCTGGAAAGGCACGAAAATGCCCCAAAGATGCTAAATTTTAATGCCTTAGGAGACTTTTTCGACAAGTCTAAAGGCACTAAAATCAAGCACCTTTAAAAAGCACTGTAAGTGCTACCTTTGTTTTACAAGTTTTTCCTTTGAGGGCTGCTAAAGAAGTTTAATTCCGGTGTCTTTTGGCCTATAATGATGCTATCGCCTCTCTGAAAGACTAAATCGTACCGTGTTATTTGCAAACACTGCATGCCTTGTAGCTCTGGTGAGGAATAAATTTAGTTCATTGGCGTCTCACAGAAGTCGCTGTTGTAAACGCGTCACCCGCTGGTGACCGTGGTGGTGGTGACCCTAGTGGCCCGGGTGGGGCGGTACAGTCGCACGCCCCGCACACCCCGCACGCCCCGCACGCCCCGCTCGCTGGCTCGGTTGCAATTACAGCGCCACCGCGTGTCCGGGACGGCCGCGACCCACTCGTGGCCCTCTCATCCTCCCCCTTCGGCTCTGGCCTGGGTGCAGTGTCTCGCTTTAATGTCGGGCCTGCGCTAGCCTGCGCTGGCCTGCGCTGGCCTGCGCTAGCCTGCGCCCAATGGCGGGCCCGGTCGTTGCTGAGCGACGCGTTCAGATTGGTGTTTCTCACCCCGTTATGGGTACTTTGGCCGGCAGGCCAGCGGCTGGTGGGGAGGGAAAGGCCTGGGCCAGGGCCGGGTGGGGACGAGGATGGGGTGGCTTGGTCACAGCCTCCTTCCCGTATGAATGGCCCTCCGCGGCCGCAAAGAGTCATTTGCATGTCCCAACTGCAGAAGGCTCTTCCGTTCCCCACCCCCTATTCTACCCCCAAGCCTCTGCGCCTCCCCCTCTGTGACCACCCCCACTCTCCTTCACCGCCGACTGAGAGCGACCCTCTCTCTGCGTCTCTGAGGAGCCCATCAGCTACCTTTTTCCCTGCCATTATCTTTCATTTGCATACGATGCGCCATAAAGTCCTCACTGTTCGTTGCCGAATCGCTTTTCACAACTTACCTACTTAAGCTATGCCGGTGAATCCCTATCCCCTACGCGGTCCTCCACGGTGCCTGGAGGTGGAAAAGAGGGAATTGAGGGTGGTGGTGGGGGGGGGGGGGGTAAAATCGTGGTGCAGCTCAG